GGGTTCTTATTAGCATAAAAAAGAAGGGGACAGAAAACTATCATCCAGGCAAATGGAAGTCAAAAGAAAGAAGGGGTAGCTATACTATTCACAGACAACATAAATTTTAAAATAGCAAAAGTAAAAAAGTATGAAGACGGCCACTTTATAATGGTGAAAGGGAAGATTCAACAAGAAGATTTAATAATTCTTAATATTTATGCACCAAATGCAGGAGCACCCAATTACATAAAGCAAACCTTGTCTGAACTAAATACCACGTTAAACAATACTGCCATAGTAGCAGAGGACTTCAACATGCCACTGAATGAACTGGATAGATCCTCCAAACAGAAATTAAATAAAGAAATAAGGGACTTAAATAAAACCCTTGACCAAAAAGGCCTGACAGATCTCTACAGAACATTCCACCCAAATGAAGTTGAATTTACATTCTTCTCAGCAGCCAATGGATACTTCTCCAAAACTGATTGCATACTAGGCCACAAAGCAGATCTCAAAAAATTCAAGAAAATAAAAATAATACCATGTGTCTTCTCTGACCATAGTGGTATAAAATTAGAGTTCAATTCTAACAGAAATACCACTTCACAAGGTCATGGAAACTCAACAATCTACTGTTGAATAACTATTGGATCAAGGAGGAAATTCAGAGGGAAATCAAGAGTTTCTACGAACAAAATGATAATGGAGCCACATGTTACCAAAACCTATGTGATACAGCAAAAGCATATCTGAGAGGAAAACTAATAGCAATAAATGCTCCTATCCAAAAAACAGAAAGAGTAGATATGAACTAGACTCAAGGAATTAGAAAAAGAAGAGCAAACCAATTCCAATCCTAGCAGAAGAAAAGAAATAACTAAGATCAAAGCAGAACTAAATGAAATGGAGAACAAGAGAATTATACAGAAGATCAACAAAACCAAAGCTAGTTTTTTGAAAAGATAAACAAAATTGATACCCCTCTGGCTAGACTGACAAGAACTCAAAGGGAAAGGGCCCTAATAAACTCAATAAGACATGAAAAAGGAGAGATCACAACAGACACCACAGAAATACAAAACATTGTTTGCCTACTACAGAAATCTATATGCCCAAAAACTACATAATAAGGAAGAAATGGACAAATTCCTGGATTCATATAAACTCCCTAAGTTCACCCAGGAGGTAACAGAATTCCTGAATAGACCAATCTCAAGTGCAGAAATTTGAGCAGTAATTGACAACCTCCCCAAATGGAAAAGTCCTGGACCAGATGGCTACACTTTAGAGTTCTACCAAACATACGAAGTTGAGCTCATACCTATACTACAGAAATTATTCCACAACATTGAGGAGTATGGTATCCTTCCTAACGCATTCTACGAAGTCAATATTACCTTGATACCAAAACCAGGAAGGGACACAACAAAAAAGAAAATTACAGACCAATATCCCTCATGAATATAGATGCAAAAATCCTCAAAAAAATTCTAGCAAACAGAATTCAGCAGCTCAACAAAAAAACAATTCACTACGACCAGGTGGGCTTTATTCCAGGTATGCAGGCCTGGTTCAACATATGCAAGTCTATAAATGCAATTCACCTTATAAATAAAAACAAGAACAAAGACCATATAATTCTCTCAATAGATGCAGAAAAAGTATTTGACAAAGTCCAATACACCTTTATGACAAAAACTCTGAATAAAACAGGCATAGGTGGTTATTATCTTAAAATTATCAAATCCATTTATGACAAACCTATGGCCAATATCATACTGGATGGGGAAAAATTGAAGCCATTCCCACTTCAAACTGGAACTAGACAAGGATGCCCACTATTTCCTATTCTATTCAACATAGTGCTCAAAGTCCTAGCTATAGCAATCAGGCAAGAGAGGGACATTAAGGGCATCCAAGTGGGTGCAGATGAGATCAAACTCTTGCTTTTTGCAGATGATATGACATTATACCTAGAAAACCCCATGGATTCCTCTAAGAGACTCCTAGATTTGATAAATGAATTTGGTAAAGTCTCAGGTTACAAAATCAATACACACAAATCAGAGGCATTCATTGAGGCCAAGAACTATCAAGCCAAAGCTTAAATCAAAAATGCAATTCCTTTTACTACAGCCCCAAAGGAAATTAAATATGTAGGAATATATCTAACGAAAGATATGAAAGACTTATACAAGGAGAACTACGAAACACTAAAAAAAGAAACTGTAGAAGATGGAAACATATGGAAAAATCTACCTTGCTCATGGATTGGTAGAATCAATACCATTAAAATGTCAGTATTACCTAAAGTCATCTATAGAATTAATGCAATCCCCATCAAAATACCACCATCATTCTTCACAGATCTAGAAAAAATAATTCTTTGCTTTGTATGGAACCAGAAAAAACCACACATAGCCAAAGCAATCTTAAGTAAAAAGAACAAACTGGAAGGCATTAATCTTCCTGACTTCAAGCTGTACTATAAAGCAATAATAATTAAATCAGCCTGGTATTTGGCATAAGAACAGAAGCATTGATGTTTAGAATAGGTCTGAGATTCCAGAGATGAAACCATATGCATATGGTAACCTAATCTTTGATAAAGCAGACAAAAATATACATTAGAGAAAAGAATCTATCTTCAATAAATGGTGCTGAGAAAACTGGATATCTACATGCAGAAGAATGAATCAGGATCCCTACCTCTCACCTCTCACAAAAAATCCACTCAAGATGGATAACAGACTTAAACCTAAGACATGAAACCCTAAGAGTCCTAGAAGAAGATATTGGGAAAACATTTTCTGACATTGGCCTAGGCAAATAATTTTTGAAGACCCCCAAAGCAATCACCACAGCAACAAAAATAAACAAATAAGATCTGATCAAACTAAAAAGCTTCTGCTCAGCCAAAGAAACTATCATTAGAGCAAAGAGACAACTTACAGAATGGGAGAAAATATTTGCTCTCTACACTTCCAATAAAGGTCTGATAACAAGAATCTATCTAGAACTCAAAAGATTTAACAAGAAAAAAGCAAACAACCCCATCAAGAAATGGGCAATGGGAATGAACAGAAATTTTCCAAAGAAGACAGAATAATGGCCAGCAAACATGTAAAAAAATGCTCAACATCTCTAATCATTAGAGAAATGCAAATCAAAACCACAATGAGATGTCATCTAACCCCAGTTAGATTGGCCCATATCAAGAAATCCCAAAGCAACAAATGCTGGCAAGGATGCAGAGACATAGAAACACTGTTACACTGCTGGTGGGACTGCAAATTAGTGCAACCTTTGTGGAAAAGAATTTGGAGATAACTAAAACAGCTAAAAAATGGAAATACCATTCGACCCAGCAATAGCATTATTAGGCATCTACCCCAAAGAGCATAAGATATTCTATTATAAACACATCTGCACCCAAATGTTTATGGCAGCAAAATTCACCATTGCAAGGACATGGAAACAACCCAAGTGCCCATCAATTCATGACTGGATAATTAAAATTTGGTATATGTTTACAATGGAATATTACTCAATTCTAAGAAATGACAGCGAGCTAACACCGCTTATATTATCCTGGATTGAGCTTAAGCCCATTATCCAAAGTGAGGTGACACAAGATCAGAAAAATGGGCTCCACATGTACTCGCCATCACATTGGTACTGACTGATTATCATTATGGTGCTTAAAGGGTGGTGGTGTTCACCAGAGATTCGGGGGGCGGGGGGATTGACCTACATCTGAGGGATGCAGTGAACAATGTGGAGGGGAAGGGCATACCTCTAACATTTGCTAAGTAAAGTTATAAAATCTAACCAAAATGTTATAAAAAAAAACATTTATCAGGTGTTGGGCAGGTGGAGGGGAGGGGATGGGTTTATATATATATATATATACATTATAAGTGCATTGTGCATTGTCAGGGGCATGGGCACGCTTGAAGTTCTGACTCGAAGGAGGAGGGAAGGTAATAGCAATGTATGTAACCTTAACATCTGTACCCCCATATTATGCTGAAATTTAAAAAAAAGAGAAGGGGACATTTCCCAGATACTTCAGTCAATGGAGGGAAGGTACAGCCACAAAAAACAAACCAGCCGGGCGTGGTGGCTCACGCCTGTAATCCTAGCACTTTGGGAGGCCGAGGCGGGCGGATCGCTCAAGGTCAGGAGTTCGAAACCAGCCTGAGTGAGACCCCGTCTCTACCAAAAACAGAAAGAAATTAATTGACCAACTAAAAATATATATACAAAAAAAAAATTAGCTGGGCATGGTGGCGCATGCCTGTAGTCCCAGCTACTCGGGAGGCTGAGGCAGTAGGATCGCTGAGCCCAGGAGATTGAGGTTGCTGTGAGCCAGGCTGACGCCACGGCACTCACTCTAGCCTGGGCAACAAAGTGAGACTCTGTCTCAAAAAAAAAAAAAAAGAAAAGAAAAAACAAACCAGACATGATTTCTACGCAGAGAAAAGGATAATTTCCTCTTACAGTTAGTTTGGTACAAGTATAAAACATGTTTCTCAGCCATGAAAATAAAATTTGTGCTTATATTGTGTTGTACTACATATGCATGTATGTATAATGTATATCCATAAGTGTGGGTGTGTGTATATATATATATGTACACATGTAACACACACATAGACACACACACACACACACACATATATACTTATACTACTTTCACATCCATTAAGATGGACTAGATCTTAACCCAGGGATGTAGATATAGCATTATCCCCATTTTACAGGTAAGAGAACAAATAAATCAGGGAGAGTAAAATTGCCACCAGAAACATATCACACAGACCAAAATCAGGCTGAATCTTTCATGCACATCATATATTCTTTACCATAAACAGATTCTAACAGCAATATGGCTCCTTCTTTAAGCCCCAGATTTAATAAGTCATTTTGAAATAGAGAAGGTAAGGGAAATTTGGCTGCTTCTAAGTGTCCTTTGGCCAGGAAGATGAGCACAGATATTTTCAGTTACTCACATTGTCACCCCAAACGTGTGACTTCAGGATCCTGATGAAATAATGCTAATCCCCTGATACCGCTGACCCAGGACGGGGAGCTGTGGCCCTGCATGACCGACGTTCTCTCAGGAAAGCAGAAGTCTGTGTCTGAGCCCGGCTGCTCGTCTTCCCCCAGTGCTGTGGGGAGGGCACAGCTTTGGGACAAATGACTCCAATCAGAGGTAAGGAGCCAATGACATAACGCCATGAAGTTTTATTAGCAGGGCCCAGCACACTGTAAGCCCTTGGTAAGTGATTCTATTAATATCACAAAAATATGTGATTTTTACTGTCTCATCGATGTTCTTCCTCTTGTGGCATTTTCACTTTCCCTTCCCCTTGCCTATCCTCTGATTGATCCTTAGCAAGGGTCAAAAGACAAAAGCAAACGTTCCAATGTTGAAGAAATTTCCACTGATCCAGAGAAAAGCAAAGGTTTGATTACAGGTCGTACCCGGGTTACAGATGTCCTGATTTGAGGTGTTCCATAGGTACATAGAGAAGGAACTGACACAAGCACAAGAATGTGAAGAATCAGAAGATCCAAAGACAATAAACTATCTGAAAAAAAGAATTAGCTGAAGCTCTTCCTCTCATTGAAGCAGGATCTGCTGAACCTGAGGAGCCAGATTCTAACTTTGAGGGTTTTCAGAGGCTTACCTTGCAGTTAGCGAAAACATCAGCTGCTACAAGCCCATTTATGATTAAAGAAAGCAAAAGCTGCGCAGACAGCCCTAGCTGCCTTTGGGGTGCAGTGGTGAGCTCCCCTCCCCAGCAACAGACCCCAACCCTGATTCTCCAGCACCATCTTCCTCATGCTCTTCTGATAAATGCCACCTGCCTTCCTTTAGCCTCAGAAATGCCCCTTCCAGTAAGTAAGACATTGATGCAACACTGGGTCAGTGTTAACCTTTAATATTCTTCTTTGTAATTTCTCCTGCTTCCATCTAAACTTTTTGTATGACCTTGTTTTTATGTTCTGTTTGTCTGAATGAAAAGAAAGAGCACAACAGTTTCTGTACCTTGTTATCACAGCACGGAGGCATTATTATTATTACAGCATTCCTCTGTATTGTTATCACCGCATGCCAGCCATTACAGTGTTATTATTATTACTGCCCTGTATGTGCTGTTCATCAGGGATCCGCAGTTACGTACAAATCTGACCTAAAGACATTCTCAGGAACACATCTCTGTAGCCCAGGCACTGCCTGTATTTGTTTAGGAATTTTCTATCGGTCCCTTACTTATGTAACTGCTACTTTATAACCGGTCCCTAGAAGGGGGCGGGTCTTCCTGGAAATTTTGACTGCTGTTGTTTTCATTTTCAGTGACTCAGAGCAGTCCCGGACTTCTGGAGAAGGTAGGCGACCCCATAGCTTATCCTGGGGCTGGTTGCCACCCCCTGCACCTGCGGACTAAAATCCGCACATTCTAACTTCTTTCCCCGATCTGAAACCCATAGGGGCTTCTTGTAACTGCAAGTCCAACAGGTGAGGAATTTAGTCCTGGTGTGTGAACCCGGGGGTGTGGGGGATGGGTGTGTGGGGCGGGGGTGGTCTCTGCAGCTTTGGCAGCTTAGGGGAATCTTGTGTGGGCTGGAGGGAGATTTAGCCATCTCCTGATCTCAAGGCCCCTTTCCCACTTTCATTATCTTTTACTTTACCTTTTTCTTTCTCCTTCTTTCTTCCTTTGATATGGACAATCGATGCTATTTATCTCAATGTTATGTAAGTTTATGCTGCAGAAATTCTGTCGTCATAAGCCTTCACCCACCCAATCAATTGCAGCCCATAAACCCTTCTGTCCCTTCTGTAATTACCAGGACATTAAAACTCTAGGATTGAAAATTGAAAGATTAAATTACTCTCATTTTATCCAAGCTCCCCCATGCATCCCAGATCTCTTTCTTGGCCAGATTCCAGGTTGTCCAATTCTCCCCTGCAGTAGGGAGCAGGCTCAGGCAGGCTGTGCCACCCGCTCCCCCCAGTCCTGCACTAGGACAGCTCAGGGCTGGGGACTCTGCATTCCTGAGGGGCCACCTAAGAAGCAGCCACCTGGCTCAGGGAGAAGCCCTCTATTCTCCCAGCCTCCTCAGATTCAAGGCTTTGACCTTGGTCAGCCCCTGTGGCCAGCGTTTACCTACGCATTTCTAGGTGCCCTGCTGAAGTGCCACCCTGAGGCACCCAGTACTATTTCTGATTTCTGTGCAAACTCACTTTGCACAGGGAAGGGCTGGGTAAAAGTGTAGAAGAGCAAGTTTCCCTCAGTGAGGGATTGATTCTAGGGTTAGAATGAGGAAATAAAGGCTGTTTCTTCCTCTGCTACTTTGTCTTCCACTCACAGACAGGCTTGGCCCAGCCTGCGAGCTTTGGTTTCCCGGACAGTTATTCAGCTGTTTTACTCCTGTTGATTCTCCTGCTTTAAGGTCCCTGCTGCTGTTATTAGCAATTCTTCCCTCCCGTCCCCCAGCCCGTTCACCAGAGAACTTGCTGCAGTCAAGGGTCTGCATGGAAGCCCTTTTCCTGAGCATCCTCTCTTTACCTCCCGCCTGCCACTGTCCCCTGTGTCGCTGTCAAATTGCGTGCCACATTGCCACACTCAGTTTTTATCCAGTGGTTCCAAATAAAAACAAACGTGAAATGAAAGGCCTGATTAATGGGTGCTGATGTGTGGAGATGGGGCAAAGTGCATGAGAAACACCCTCGTCATCAGATGGGTGATCAGCGTGGACGTTGACTTGGATAGGGTGGGTGGGATGTTTCGAGTGGTGATTGGGATGAGAGTTGGGGCACAGGAATATCCTGTCTGAAGCTTCAGAATCCTTGAGGGTGGGTTGTGGTAGGAAGGAAAGCTGCCTTTCTCAAAAGCCAGTGTTTTTCTGGCTTGTTGTTTGCTCAGAGAGGTCTGAGGTTTGCAGTGACTCATCTGTCCTGGGCCTCTGGCATCCTCTTTGTGCTACGCAGGGCCATTTTAGCTCATTATGGTCTGTTTTCAGTGAAAAGCCCCCGTATTGGTGCGGAAGGTTGCAGGTCAGGTGATGCCTTGACAAAACATGGAGCGGCAAGCTGGCAAATGATCCGGCTCAGAATTGTTCCAGAGCATCATCCTGTGGCATTAGGGGCCAAACAAACCCACCTGTAGACTGTTGCAATAAAGGAATCATAATGTAAGTTATAACCTCGACACATAAAATTTATCTGTTACCATATCACATGAAATGGTTGTCCAGGATTATAATAAAATTTGGGAGATATGTTTAGGACAGCTTGATTTAAAATAGAGGACATGAACATATGTAATATTTACATATATGAAAATATCCTGGACAGAGAAAACAAACAGTGGCTTCAATTTTGAGCTCCAAAAGAAAAGTCACAGGGTAAGCGATCACAGTGGCAGGAGACCATCTTGGATCCCGCACCTTCTCACACGCAGGTCTCTGAACAGCATAGTCCTAAGGGAATTAGAGCAAAGGCTTATGGGGAACAACGGTAACTGCAGTAATAGGAACGATACAGATGTTTGTCCTCATTGATTAAATGCCTCCTTGGGCCAGTCACTGTTCTAGGGACTTCATATAAATTAATTCATATATGACATATAGGTGTTGTGGTTCTCAATTTAGAAAGAGAATTCTGAGTTCAGAGGGGTTGGTTAATGCCGCCTATTCAGTGGTATAAGAAGTGGTGTGTGTTACACTCTTTGAAAAGTGGGATCAGTGTTTGAACCGGCCTCGGGTGTTTAAACAATTTCCTGTTTAGTGGGGACTAGTGAATCTGATAGCTTCCCCACTCGGGACTGGCCTTTGGGAGGAGCCTTACTTTTGGAATCTTTGCCCCCTTCTTTCCAGGTTCCTTCTTAGTGCCAACATTAGCCCTTTGAACGTATTCTTATTCCAGACGGAAGCGCATAAGGTACTGGTGTTGGAATGGACAGCTCCCAACATGTCACTCTGTTTGTGATGTGTCTTTTCTGCAGAAACTCTGCATCACCATGGTGACCCCCTGTGGCCTACTCAGTGACAAACAGGAGCCAAGTAAGCCCAATTTGTGACTCTCACTTGCCGTTGTACCTTTGGCACCTAGCACAAGGCTTGGCCTGCAGGAGGCATTCCGTTAAAGCTTGTTGAACTCTTGAATTCTGGTCTGTCCCCAGTGCCGCTGAAGAGTGTCTCTGTGAGCTTGTCCATTAATGAGTTTGTGACCAGTGTGTCTGCAACCCTCAACTATGAGAATGGATGGAAAGTTCCGTTGGAGGCCGCCTTTATCTTCCCCATGGATGAAGACTCTGCTGTCTACAGCTTCGAAGCCTTGGTGGATGGGAAGAGAGTTGTAGCAGAATTACAGGACAAGGCGAAGGTACTAGGGATGAGTACGTTAGCTCCTCTCTTCTTATTGGTGCATTGTCTTTAGTGTCAGGCTTGAGTTTTTAGAGTTGTTGCCCTGATTCTTTGGCTCCTGGCTTGAAGGAATTACAAGCCAGGTGGTGCTACAGAGAGATGACAGACACTAGCGTCTCTGCACAAGCAGCTTTTATTGCAGGCTTGTCAGCATAGAATAGAAAGTGAAAGTACATTTCCTGAGAGGAAATGGGTCTGGCTCCATGAGTGGAGAAGAACCTACTTTGATGTCTATGCCTTATGATATGCTATGGGGGTGGGGTGGGGTGGTGGGGGTGGTGGACTATTCATTACTGTCCTGGGAAAAGGGTACAGAGTTCTTAGAATTAAGGACCCTCCCTATTTTTATCCTTATAGGGTAACTTCCAGGGGTTCCCATGACAATTGCAAACTGCCATGGCACTGATGGGTGTGATTTTTACTATGTTAATATATGTTACAGGGGAAAAGGTCACCTTTAGACATGAGCTCCTAGATTCTGCTCATGCTCCTGGCCAGGAAAACATCCCTAAATGCCAGTTCTTGACATTGCTATTTGGCTTCTAAATGCATATTGGTCTCCTCCGTTTTGCTTTCCTCTTGTTTTTCTGTGGTTAGGGCTGGCAACCTGCACCTGTCCCTAACATTTAGGATACCTGTCAAATGCAACTTCACAAAACATGCTGATGTTGCAAGCTCTTTCCTCCACTCCATTCTGACTGCTGTTTTCCTAAAGTCATTGGTGGGGGGGGGAATCAATCAGAGACATTCAAAGTACAGCTGTGAACTTGACAAGACCCATCAGAGTCCCTCCCCATCAGGTTGCTTTCTGCACTACTTGTGGCTGCGTCAACCATGGCACCTTTGATGTTACCTTTCTTTTCCACCCTCACCCTGTTCTCCTTAGGCCCACAGAAAGTATGAGAATGCTGTCTGCAAGTGGCGCCAGGCCTTCTTTCTGGAGGAGGATGTGAGATCCAGGGATGTCTTCTCTTGCAATGTGGGGAGCCTCCAACCTGGGGCGAAGGTGGCACTCACCCTGAGGTATGTGCAGGAGCTGTCCCTGGAAGCAGATGGTGCCCTGCGCTTCGTGATCCCAACTGTCCTGAACCCCAGATACCAGCTGTCTGGTGAGTCCCCCTCCCCTTTCAATGCTGGTCATGGGGAAATCCCCTTAAGGTTGTGTGTGGATGTGCTAAAAAGGTTTGGCAAGGAAAACACAACTACGGTAACTTTTTGTAGGATGTACTCAGGACAGCTGCCTTAATAGGAGGATTCCTATAGTCCCTTTGGAGGACCTGTCCTACACACTCAGTATGGTCGCCACCATCACTTCCCAGCATGGCATTGAGCAAGTCCAATGCAATTGCCCCTTGAGTCCTACTGAGTACCTTGGAGATGATAAGACTTCTGCTCAGGTAATTAATGAGAGAGTACTACCATTGCCAGTACTCCTGTTCCTTGGGTCTTGGCTTGGTCCTCACCCAGTTTATCCCAAATGTTAACCCAGATGGAGTTGGTTGATGCTCCTTCCTTATCCCTGTTTAACGTCCAGAGCTTTCTCTCCGTTCTCGCTTCTGCTCCTGACAGTGTTCACTCAAGGAAGAAGCCTGTAGCCCCCAGCTCTGATAGTAGCTCCAGGAAGCAAACAGTGATAGTTCTAATGTGGCTCCTTTGCCTGTCCCCAACTCAGGTCTCCCTGGCTGAGGGACACCACTATGATCGGGACGTGGAACTCCTGATTTACTACAATGAGGTGCATGCCCCCAGCGTAGCTGTGGAGATGGGGATGCCGGAAATGAAGCCAGGTATTTTCTTTCTCCTTTTGTAGTCACCTTCTAGAGCGTAAATTCCTGTCTTGGAGTTATCCTCAAATTACTCTCACTTTTATCTCCTTTCGAGTAGCAGGTAAAACATACCCACATAAACATTCAAATAGCTTACACTATGGCATGCAAAAATGGTTAGGTTTATTGAATATCATGTAGTTATGACAAGTAGGCAAACTTAACAAGATCAGTAGAAAATTGGGCAAAGGATTGAAACAAATAATTCAAAGAGGAAAACACAGCCAGTTTATAAACATATGGGGCAGTGATCAGTCTTATAATGGAAATTGCAATGAAATGCTATTTCATTTGAAATGCAAATCATAGTAATCATATAGCATTTTCACCTTTCAAATTATCAAAGATTTCCAAATCTGATAGTCCCTCATGGTTTTAAAGTTATGATGAATTTGGCACTGTCATAGATTGCTTGAAGCAAAATGATTTGGTATCAACCATTTGAGGAGAAATTTGGATATATGTGTCAAATCAATGTTTATTTTGGTAACCTCAATTTTGGGGATCTTACCTAAGGAAATAAATCTAAATATAAGTAAAAATATGAACTGAGCTGTTACCTGTCATTTTAATGATATCAAATAGTAGTAAACAATCAAAATGTTTTTAAGTGGCTAAATGTACTTTGCAAGGTACACTTGAAATAACTTGGAAACAAGGCCTCCAAAGAATGTTAAGTAAAAGAAAAGTAAGTTATACAGGCTAATTACCACAATAAAACAACCTATGCATTAGGAAAAACGTTTAAAAACATAGGAAGTATGCAAGGAGTAATTATTATTAGATTTAGACTGTTTAGTTCGTCGATTTCTTTCTGTAATAAATAACTTTTATTGATTGATTCATCACACATGTAGTGTCACCTGGAGTTGTTTTCTTATTGTGGTAAAATATGCATAACAGAATTTACCATTTTAGATATTTTAAGTGTACAGTTCTGTGGCCTTAAGTACATTCATCTTGTACAGCCATCACCATCATCCATCTCTAAAATTTTTTATCCTGTCCTAGTTTCTCACTTTATTTTAATGTCTCTTATTTTTAATTTTAATGTTTCTTGTTTTAATATATTTTTAAAAATATATATGTATTTTTTCTTATAATTAAAATTGTTGTATCCCGTGTTGATCTGTTTTGCTCCTGGGGCCTTCCTGGGCTGCCACGGCAGTGGATTTCAGGGACCACGAAGCAGGACTGGAGGGATACTGCCACTTACAAAGCATGTTGCACAGGATGGAGTGGAAGCCTCCTTGGTGACAGTCATTGTTAATAGTGATTGTTAAAGTGATGTGGCTTGGTTAGGCTCTCGCTCTACAACTATAGCTGCTAGGAACACATTCCCGGTAGTTGGTTTTCAGCGGGCCATCCCACTCTCTCATCCTTAATGTTTGGCCCAAGTGGATGCATATTTGTGCTCACAAATTGGGACTCTTTAGTTTGCCCTCACTTGTTCAAACATTCTTCTTCAGGGGCAGCTGTCCATGCTAAGGACATTAGAGGGGTCCACGCCTCAACCAGGTTTGCTATAACCAGCTCCTCTTCCATGAAGTTCCATGCTCTGTCTTTTTACATTAGTTACCTGTTTTTTCCTTGCCTGTCGGTATCTCCTTGGGTGCCCACAAAATATTCCTGTAACAGTAACCTTATCTTTAGTCAGCATTATTTTAAAGGATTATTTACTGCAGAGAAAGTTTTATCATGTTGGATCTCAAAAGGTAAGATAGAGATCTCAGTCCTTTTCCTGCTAAGAAGTTTCCTTGCCCCTCTGCAGATTTTCTCCCCTGTTCCCCACGACCAGTTCTGCAGGCCATAGGGGGACATCAGAGGTAGCCCGTGTCAGTCTTGGGAATTCCTTCCAGCTGGGCCACTCGAGTCTTGCTTCCCAAGACATATATTTGGTCAGCATGACTTGCTGTTCTCAGCCACACAAGGAAGCAACTGACAACCTTAAGTGGCAGCTTGGCTCATTAAAACCATGTAGAGTTCTGCCAAGTGAAACATGGCACTACATGAGGAAAACACAATGCCTTATTTTTACAAACTTAGAACAGACATACTTAGTATGTTTAAAATGTGATTTCTTTTTAAATTAAATTCATGATTTAATAAAATAATTGTATAAACATAAAATTTAGAAATAACTTTTATAAAATTGTGACTAAGAGCCTAATCTAAGTTGAGCACTAGACTGAGCTCCTTAAGTATATTATACCACGTGACCTCACAGTAATGTTGAGGCAGGTGTCACTACTGTGATTCTTCAGATGAGGACACTGAGGCCAGCAAGCGGAGGAGCTAAGGTTTGAAATGCCTCCTTAAACACAAAGGAAGCCGAGACTCGTGGTAGTACAAATAGGTTGAGCCAGGCCAAAATTACAGTAGATAATCCACGTATTGTGCTTCCTATTTATCTGGTGTTATTCTAAACAGTTTAGGTACATTAACTCATCACACTCATGGCAACCTTCCCAACTCCTGAGTATAGCGCCAGCTCTGTTATAACCAGCTCTCTCTCAGAATGAAAAGGAATCTACCTTGCCCATCAAAAAAATTCTACTTTTCTGTCAAATATCCAGACATCTGGATTAAGTAAATGCTATATTTGAATTAATGTTCTATTAGATATTGCTGGATCACACCCATTTTACTTGGAAACCATTTGGTTATTAGAGTACCCCACGGGTAAGAGATTAAACTGATCCATGTCCTGTGGTCACACTGAATCTCAGGGCTACTGAGAGTAAACCCTATAATCCTCAAAACACTTCATAAAGATAAGATAATGGAATTTAATTTTATACTATCTGAACTTTAAAACTAGAGGTGATAGACCCAGCCATTTTCCTTTCATATCTATCTCAACCACATCATTTCAATTCCTGCACAGCTCTCACTTGCTCCTAAAAATAAAGTCATGGCTCTGACTTTGACAACTTAGCCACAAAGCCTGGACTCTAGTAGTCACTGCCACCCTGTTGTTTGGATGATGCCATTAGAATCCAACCCAGATCCCAGTGCTTCTCTTTCTCCTGGGGACCATCAGTGGATATGAAGTCTGCCTGCCTCATATCCAAAGCAGGCAGACTCACCTTGGTGTGTATAACACTTGCTCTACTCAACTCTTGTAAATTGTCTTGTCTAAAAATTGTCCATGTATCACTTTTTCAAAGCTGTAATTAAAGACTTAAACAAGGACCCCCTGTGATAAATTCTCTTCCATTTATTTGGTTTAAAGAAAAGGTTTGCCTCTGCAAAGAAACTTGTCTGTTTCTTTTTGAAAGTGCTGAAACCTGTTAACCTAATGTGTCTCACTTATTTGCCTCGGTGCGCTGAAATTTGCATTCAGGGACAATATTTTAATATTGCTTGTGCACACTAACCTCTACTCACTTTCTTGTCTTTCCTGTCTATTCTGATTTTGTCTCCTTTATATGTTTATAACTCACGTCATACCCTTTGCAAACAGATATGGTATAAGGATCAAACACAGTATTATACTTCTGAGTTTTCTCCGCTCTCTATTAAATTTACTACCATTGATTCTTGGGGACATTAGGGTTTTTAAGTTCTTTTTTGGCTTACAGTTTTTGTATCCTTTCTGTGTAGGGTGTTTCTTGGGAGATCTATCTGCAATGTTGAGTTTCTATCCAAATATCCCAGAAGCCCATCCACCAAATACCTGTGGAGAATTTATCTTCCTCATGGACCGCTCAGGAAGTATGGAGAGCCCCTTGAGTAACCAGAGTAGATCTCCACTGCGTATAGAGGCAGCCAAGGTAAAACTAGTATATTTCTTTTTCTGGGTCACATGCTCAAGGGAGGATGAATCTGACGGGTTAAATTATGGTGCATACAGAGCTGTAGGTCTGTTTTCAACTGAGCAACAGCCAGTTGAAAGACCACCGTGAGGTTGGCCTTGGAATGTCAGGAGGCACAAAGGCGGGGTGATGGCCTACACTCTCAAGAGTTAGAGTGTGTTTATAGCAGCACAATTCATAATTGCAAGGCTGTGGAAACAGCCCAAGTGCCCATCAATCCAAGAATGGATTAATAAAATGTGGTATATGTATACCATGGAGTACTATTCAGCTCTAAGAAACAATGGTGATATAGCACATCTTATATTTTCCTGGTTAGAGCTGGAACCCATACTACTAAGTGAAGTATCCCAAGAATGGAAAAACAAGCACCACATATACTCCCCAGCAAACTGGTATTAACTGAGTAGCACCTAAGTGGACACATAGGTACTATAGTAATAGGGTATTGGGGAGGGGGGAGGGGAAAGGGGGTGGGTATATACATACATAACAAGTGACATGTGCACCATCTGAGGGATGGTCATGCTGGAAACTCAGACTTGTGGGGAGGGGGGGGAGGGCATTTATTGAAATCTTAAAATCCCCCATAATATCCCAAAATAAAAAAAAATTATATATAAAAAAGGAAGAGTTAGAATGGCAGGGTCTGTGGGTGTGAGAGGATCCTCTCTCACTCTGTCCCCTCATACTCTCTTACCTTCAGGAAACACTGATTTTGCTGCTGAAGAGTTTACCTGTAGGCTGTTATTTCAACATCTATGGATTCGGCTCTACCTATGAGGCATTCTTTCAGTAAGTATCTGGAAAGGCCATAGAGAGTCCAAAATGATACTTTAAAGAAAGGGCCTAGGTTGTTAAAGGAACTACCACAGCATTTGGCTTTGGGAATTTCAGGTAAGATTGTCTTTTGACGGGGGTATCCAGTTCAGGAACTCAACACTGGACAATGTCCAGCGCCATCCTGTGACTGGGTGTGTTTGTTTTTCTCAGGGAAAGTGTGAAGTACACTCAGCAAACAATGGAGGAGGCACTGGGGAGAGTGAAGCGTATTCGGGCAGACCTAGGGGGCACTGAAATCTTGGCACCACTCCGGAACATTTACAAGGCACCCTCCATCCCAGGCCACCCCCTACAGGTAAGAATTGGGACAGAGCTAACTGAAGGGACACAGAGAGTGAAATCTCAGCTAGAGAATCAAATTATTGAAATATGGTTGGTAATCCAGAGTCTTCTATCATATAGTAAAGAGGGGAGAAAAAAAAAGACAAGAGGCGTTTTTCTTCTTCCATAATCCCATGCGATGATAGGCAATGGAAGTTCTTTTATGGAGTGCCACAAAAGCTTAAATGAAGCTATTCGGGGGAGGTGCTGAAAATCCCCAGGGTTCTGATCAGACCATGTGGTAATGTGAGGCTAGTGACAGTGGAAGATTAGGGATCTCGTGGCTGTTTGAAGAGGCGTCAGCGCTTTTAGATTGAAATAGTTGAGTTTTTCAAAGGCAAATTCTGGTATCTTAAAATGAACTTGATAGAAGCTTGATGAGTATTTTCTTTGTTTGTGCAGCTTTTTGTCTTCACAGATGGAGAAGTTAGTGACACATCCACTGTAATTAAAGAAGTTGAAATCAACAGGCAGAAACACAGGTAGGAAGAGGTCATGATTTCTGGGTGCTTGGATCCAAGTAGTGCCACATGTCATCTGGTGTTACATGATACCAGTGTTGATATTCCTTGCAGAGGACACAATGGTTCCAGAATTTTAGTTTTATCAGCTGACAATTTATTACTGTCTACAAAAATCAAAAGTAATTTTCCAAATAACATCAACACAGGAAAATCGTTGTCCCTCATTCTTTCTAAACCACAATGGAACAAGAATCAAATAATAAGATGTTAATATTTTTTTCTTACTGTAAACATTTGTGTCAGAGTAATACACAGGATACACACAGATCATCTGTATACAGCTAGATGAATTATCACGGTGAACACACTTGTGTAATCGCCACACAGATCCAACACTGGAATGTAACGAAGACCTCTCCGCATCTAGCCTTTTACATCATGCCCTGTTACAGTCACTACACACATAGAGCTCTCCTTTCCTGTAACACCATGGCTGTTTGTGCTGGGTTTTGAATGAAAATAAGTGAGTTATCCAGTATGTTTTTGTTTCTGTGTATATTGTTTCTTTCCTTTCTCTCAGAATTATGTTGAGAAATTCATACATATTTTTTATGTAGAGGTAGTTAATTATTATTGGTGTGTGGTGTTCCGTAGAATGACTATACCATAACGTATCTATGATGCTAATGCTGATGGACTTTGGTTTGGCTATTAAAAATAATACTGCTATGAACATTTTTGTGGTCTTGTACAGGTATTTTTTGCAGACACACATGTATGTGCATATACATATTTATAGACATATACATTTCTTTGAATAAACAGAATCGTGGAATTTCTGGGACATGACAGACAGTTCTGTAAGCTATTGTACTAATTTAATTCACCCCAGCATTGTAGGAGGATTCCAATTGCCTCATTTTCTATCCAAAATTTAGTGTTGTTTGTCTTTAAATTTTAGCCAACCTTGTGTGTATAGTGGTTATCTTAGTATAGTTGTAATTTATATTTTTCTGATGATGTATGAAGTTGAGCACTGTTTCATATTTGTTGACCATTTGGGTGTTCTCTTTTGTGATAAGCTTTTAAGTTTTTTTCATATTTTTATTTATTAATTATTTATTTATATTACATTGATCTGTAGTTCATTCTGAGGTCTAGATGCAAGCTCTTTCTTAACTATATAATCTAAAAATATATTTTCTTAGTCTATAGCTTATTTTTTTACCCTCAAAATATATTTGGATAATAGCTGCTCTTAATTTTAATATAGTTCAATTGTTTTAGTCTTTTCCTTATGGTTAGTGATTTTTGTATCCTGTTCAAAAAAGTCTTTCCCTACCTGAGGTAGTGAAGATTTTTTATTTTGTTGTTTTCTAGAAGTTTTATTTTTTTCTTTTATGATTAGATCTAGAATGCATCTGCAATTTATTTTGGTGTATTGTATGATGTAGGGGTAAGGTTTCATTTCTTTTTTTTTGTCACCTGTGTATATCAAATTGACTCTATACCATTTATGGAAAAATTTGTCCTTTCCTCACTGATGTGCAGTGCTATCTTTATCACAAATGAGCACCTATATATATGTATGTGGGTTTTCTCTTGGTCTTCTGTTCCATTGAATTGTTTTTTTTTTTTTTAATTAATTAATTTTTTTTTATTTCGGGATATTATGGGGGAATAGATTTTAAGGTTTCAATACAGACATGTGCCAGTACTAAATCATATAAATTAATATAGCTTTAGGATAAATCTTGATTTCCAATAGAGTAAGTCCTCAACTTAGTTCATTTTCAAGATTGTCTTAGTTTTACTGGGCTCTTAGTGTTTGTATTTTAGAATTAGCTTGTCAATTTTTACCACAAAAGGAAACCTGTTGGGAAATTGGGTAGAATTGCATTGAGTTATCTTAATGTAGGCTATATTTGCCACTTATTCTTTATATCTTTTATAGTTTTCTATATCTTTTGTGGTTTTTTGTCTGTTTTTGTGTTTGGTCTGGGGACAAATCCAAGAACGAGTATTTTATTTGGTCATTTTGTCTCTTTAGTCTTCTTTACTCCGCAGCAGTTCCTCAGCTTTGCATTCTCTGTCATGACACTCACATTTTGAAAGAGTGCCAGCCAGTTAGTTTTGTAGAGCCTCCATTTGTGTTTGTATGACTGTTTAGATTCACATTTAGGGTAATAGTGAACATTTTGGCAGAAATATTTAAAAAGTAACGTCCTTCCTGGTGATGTTAAGTTTGGCCACTTAGTTAAAGGCAGTGTCCAACAGGCAACTTTAAAATTATGTAGCCACCTTGTTCTCAGCAAATGATTGCTTGGTAGTTCCAGCATTCTCCGGTGGTTACTGCCCAAGTCAGTGATTACTCTCCTAGTTACAAAATGGTGACTTTAAAAATTCTGTCAGCTTCCCCACATTTCTTAGTTGACCTCCTGTAAAGAAAAGCTTTTTCTCTTCCCTTCTTCCCTCCTTTCCTTGTGTTGTATCAATATGTGCTCTCAGATTCTTTTATTATTTTCAACTTGTTCATTTGATTCTCAAAATTTCCAGGATTGGCCAGTGAGAGCCTTTTAACGTCCTCCCGTGTCTGTTTCGTGCATCTTTGCTTTATGCGTGCTGCCTGTCTTCTGCCACACGGTGGCCTAGACTCACTTGTACTTCCAGCCTCTGGAATACATGTTCCCTCTGAGAGGATTTATTCTTTGCTTCTGAGGGGTTGATAGACTAGGAGCAGATCATTTTAATGCAGTTAGGGTCTAATAAACTTCAGTCATTGCAAGGGTTGGTTTATTTCTGATCACCTCTGTCTTTATTGTGTAGTACAGGGTTCTGTTCAAAAACCTGATGTATTTACAAGGGCACCTCCTTTTTGGAAGGCCAAATTGCTATTTTTTTTTCCTTCCACCTTTGTGAAATTGCCTAGCTTTTCAGCCGTCCGTTTTGTAGTTGGCACTTGCTTCAAAGGGTAAAGGGACACCAGATGCTAGGAGCATTTCTCTTGCCTTCCCTCCTCTCCCAGGTCTCAGCTCATAGATTTGTTTATCTTGGTATCCCTTTGATGCTTACAAACAAATTATTAAAAATATTGTGTACAGCTTTTCTAGTTCTCTTCCGGCTTCAAACAACTCATTCTGGCATTGCTGTAAGCAGAACTTTCCAGGGGTGTTATATTTTAAGTCTGGAACAATATATTTAAGTTATCGTTCTGCTTGCTGGCTGTTTGGACAAATCAACTAAGCTCTCTAAGCTTTAGTTTTGTCACTTGAAAATGGGAATACTTATAGTACTTACCTTAGGGAGTTACTGTGAGGCTCAACAGAGTATACCTATGTAAAGTATTAGGAACTGCGCTTGACAGAAAATAAGGGCTATAGGAAATGTAGCTATTATTGTAATTATTCTTTTTATTATCACCCACATCTAGCATTTTAGGGAGTTCTAGGCATACAGTTAACCACCAAGAAGTATTGTTTGTTTTTGGTTTTATACAAAAATTATAAAAGGTACATAAAAGTACTTTATAACAGGATACAGTTCAAAGACCATCTTAGAAATTGAAAGGTGGTGGTTTCAATATGTTGGCAGACTGTAGTATTTAGGGAGTATTATAGCAGATCACTGCAGTCTGATCCTTAGCTTTATGAATGTGTAATGCATTAATCGTAATGATGACATCACTAGACTTGGAAATGATGACTCACACTAACCTATCTCAAAGAGACTGCTACATAAGCTACACTTTTAATGTATCAATTTAAAATGAAAGCTATCTCTGTCATGCCTTCTAAAAATTCTTGTTTTAGTATTACCAATGCATGCTTTCTTTATAGGTACTCCTATTTAGGAGACTAAATTGTGGTTAAGAAGCTATTTGGTACACTGGGACTAAGGCAGGGTGAGAACTCCCCAGTTAGAGGAAGAGGAGGCACGCTTCCCCACTCTAAGGACGGCCTTGCCAGGGCAGACATGGCACCAGAACAATGATAGGCGGGCATTGGTGATAGCTTATCTCGTTTCCTTCATTTTTCTGGGGGATCTTGTAGTCACACGGGCCTGTGCGCCAGTGCCATCTCTATCATTTAGCAGGTGTGTGATCTTGGACAGATTTCTTAAATTCTCTGGGCCTCAGTTCCTTATCTACAAATTGAAGTAGAAACCTGCCTATTAGGAGTCTAGTGATGATTAGATTGTATTATTAATTTAAGGCATTTTTATAGCTCCTGAAAGGTAGAACATGCTCAATAAGTGGTAGCTATTATACTTTTATCAAGAAAGAAGATTATCTATTGATGCATTTTTTACTATCACGTGTCAATTTTATAACTTCACTCTTTAGTTCCTGTCTCTAACCTTTATACTTTTACAATTGCAGATGTTTCTCCTTTGGTATTGGAGAAAGTGCCTCCACCAGCCTCATAAAAGGCATTGCCCTGGCCTCAAAGGGCACTTCAGAATTCATCACAGGGAAGGACAGGATGCAATCCAAGGTGAGAGAAGGGCTGTGTGTCCAGAGGTGACACTCCAGACAACATGTAGAACAGGGAGGGGCAACTGGACAAGGTCAAGAGGCAGCAGCTTGCCTCTGGGATGCCTTTTTGTATCCTCAAGGCCTTGCACTATGTACCTACTGTGGGTACTTTTGGCCTCATGTAAAGGGGGCCCCTGTACCATCTGCAGAAATGGTGTCTGGTCCATATGTAGCTGAAAGCCCAGGAATGAGATGCAGAAAGAGATTGGGGTCTGTGTATTGAAGACCAGAGACAGAAACTAAGAGCTTTGGCTGTCATGATTGTGGTCCTAGGTCTGCACTTTAGGACCGAAAGAGGTACTATATCCATCCTCCATGCAAGGGTATAAAGAAGAGGAGAAGAAACAATTGTGATATGTCTAATAGATTGGAAGAAGTGGTAAATTGGCGATTCCATTTGATCAGTCTGCACGAGGAGAAGACATCTCGTTAAATTTCGAAGCTCCTGTTTTCCACTTGATGCTGTCTCTTGTCTAATGCCCTTCTCCAGGGGCCTTGTCTCTCAAACATTTTCTTCATTCACATTGATGTTATTAAATCTTTCAGCTTTATAAGTAAAGCAAGAGAAATAATGCCCATCTCTTAGTACAGCATTAAGAAGAAGGCATGCCGTGTGTTACACAGCATAGCACCTTCTACGTAATACGCACTCAGTGAACAGTAGCTCTCATTGTCCGTATTATTTGTTTCTGCTTGTTCTGTTCCATTTCTTCCATTAGGCTCTGAGGACCCTGAAATATTCTCTACAGCCCGTGGTAGAGGATGTCTCTGTGAGCTGGGATTTGCCTCCTGGTCTATCTGCTAAAATGCTTTCCCCAGAACCAACTGTCATCTTTAAGGGTCAGAGGTTAATCATCTACGCTCAATTGACTGGGGTGATGCCAGTGAGTTCCCATTCTTTTTCCTTCCTTTAGTTGGAATAGCTACCATACTGTGCTGACAATGTCTTTAAAGCTGGTGGGTGGATTTAGATGACAGGAAGAGATTGCGCTTGTAGGTAGAGCCAGCCTACACCCTTCCTCATCATTTGGGGCTCTGGTTTCCTGGGCTACCTGATTCTTAGTCAGCTTTTTAATGTATTGTATGGGGGAACTGCCCCCATTCTAATCCTTTTCTTGGTGATATCCTCCTTCCATCACTTCTACTTTTCTCTAATTTGTAGCCAGCAGAGACAACAGGAAAAGTATGCCTCAAGTATGCATTCCAGGGCAAGAATTTTGAGGATAAGGTGACATTTTCTCTACAACCTAAGTCCGATGCCAAGTGAGAATTCTGTTTTCCTTTGCTATTTTCTTCCATCCCATCCTTCCTCCCTTCCTCTCTTCTTTCTGTTCCTCTCTCTCTCTGTCTTTCTGTCTCCCCTTTCCCCTCTCCTGCCATCCTTGGAGGTTGGATTTGGGCTCAATTGTTTCCCTAAAATCACTTTTTATTTCTAAGCTACCTAAGTCTTATCTCTCCCCTTATCTGACTTTTTCTTCCCTCTGCTATTCCTAACTTAAGAGCTCAGAGCAACTGGCATGTGGGTGGTCTTTTCTTAGGTTCAGGAATTTTCTTTTCTTTCAGCCTCACCATTCACCGCCTTGCTGCCAAGTCCTTTATCCAGACCAAGGACATGGGCCTCACAGAGACTCCAGCAAGTCATAAAAGCGAAATATTGAACATCAGCCTTGAGTCTGGAGTCATAAGCTCCTTCACAGCTTTCATTGCTATCAACAAATCGCGCAACGAGTCAGTTCAGGGGCCCCTGACTTATTTGAACATTATAAGGCCATTTCTGATGAGAAGACTACTAGGAGGTGGTGAGTTTTATCTCATCCAAACTCATATGGAATAAATGGTCCTGAATATCTGAGCACATTATTTAAAGGAAAAGGTGGCGATACATTCTTAACTTGCCTTGTTTTTCTTGTCCTTCCACATATAGGATTTCTAGCTAGTCTTAAACTTTTCTGTCCTAGGGAACTACAGTGTATCCCACTGGCAAGTAGATTTTAAATAATCCAAGAGAAAACCCCAAACATTAAAACAGAAAGTGCACATAAACATTGAGTAATCAAACTCTCAAAATATGAAGTGGATTTATCTTCTTCTTTTTTATTTCTTAAAAAAAGCAGCATTATTAAGATATATTTCACATATCATATAATTCACCCATTTAACGTATACAATCCAGTAGATTTTAGTATTTGTGCAACCATCACAACAATCAGTACAATTTTAGAGCATTTTCATCACCTAAGATAGAAAGTCCATTACCATTAACAATCATTTTCAATTTCACTTCCTGACACCCACGTATCCTCTCCTGGACCCCATCCCCTTTCCCCCATCCCAGGCAATCACTTACCTGCTTTCTGTCTCTCTATATTTGCCTATTCTATCTGTCTATAGTTGGCTATTCTGGACATTTTGTCTTTGTATCTACCTGTAATTGTATATCCTTGAACCAAAATCTTCCCATTCCCCCACTCCCTAATTACCAAGCTTCTGGTAACCACCATTCTACTGTCCTTTCATGAGATCAGCTTTTTTAGATTTCATAAATAAATGATATCATGCAGTGTTTATCTTTCTGTGCCTGGCTTATTTCATTTAACATGTTGTTCTCCAGATTTATCCATATTGTCTCAAATGACAGGATTTCATTGTGTTTGATTGCTGAATAGTGATCCATTGTGTATATATTCCACATTTTCGATATCCAGTTTATTTAGTGATGGATACCTAGGTTGATTCCAGGTCTTGGCTGTTATGAATAGGACTGCAATAAACATGCCAGTACAGATATCTCTTCAACATACTGATTTCAAGTCTTTAGATATATATGAATTCATGGGATAGCTTGATAATGTGATTGTTCTATTTTTCACATTTTGAGGAACCTTCATAATGTTTTCCATAATGGCTATACTAATTTACATTCCCATGCACAGTGTACAAGGGTTCGGTTTCTCTATATCCTCACCAACACTTGTTATCTTTTGTCTTTTTGAGCCTAACAGCTGTAAAGTGATATCTAATTGTGGGTTTGATTTGCATTTTATGATGATAATATTGAGGGTTTGTTCATGTACCTGTTGGCCATTTGTATGTCCTCTTTTGAGAAATGTCTATTCAAGTCTCTTGTCCATTTTTTTTACTATTGAGTTGTTTAAGTTCCATGTATATTTTGGATATATTAACTGCTTATTGCACATTTGTTCTACAAATATTTTCAACCATTCTGTAGGTTGTCCCTTCACTCTGTTGATTGTTTTCTTTCCCATTCAGAGGCTTTCTAGTTTGATGTTACCTATTTGTCTACTTTTGCTTTTGTTGGCTGTGCTTTTGAGGCCATATCCAAAAATTTACTGCCCACGCCAATGTCATGGAGCTTTTCCCTCATGTTTTCCTCTCGTAGTTTCCTAGTTTTAGATCTTACATTTAAGTCTTTTATCCATTTTGAGTTAGCTTTTGTATATGATGTGAAATAAGGTCTAATTTTGTTTTCTGCATGTGTATATCCAGTTTTCTCAACACCATTTATTGTAGAGATTGTCCTTTACCCATTGTGTGTTCTCAGCAACTTTCTCAAAAATTAGTTGGTTGTAAGTGTGTAGATTTTTTCCTGGGCTTTCCATTCTGCTCCATTGTTCTATGTGTGTGTTTTTATGTGTGTACCATGCTGTTTTGGTTGCTACAACTTTGTAGAATATTTTGAAGACAGGTAGTGTGATGTTTTTAGTTTTGTTTTGTTTTTGTTATTTTGTTTGTTCAAGGTTGCTTTGGTAATTTGGGTGTTTTATGGTTCTATATAAATTATAGGGTTTTTTTATTTCTGTGAAGAATGTCATTGGTATTTTGATAAGGATTACATTGAATTTGTATATCACTTTGTGTAGTATGGCCATTTTCACAATATTTATTCTTTCAATTCATGAACACAGGATCCCTTTCCATTTACTTTTGTCATCTTCAATTTCTTTCATCAGTATTTTATAGTTTTTAGTATAAAGTTTTTGTCACCTTCTGGTTACATTTCTTCCTAAGTATTTTAATTATTTTTTAGCTATTATGAATGGATTACTTTCTTGATTTATTTTTCAAATTGTTTGCTATTGGTATACAGAAACACTATGGATTTTGGTATGCCGATTTTGAATCCTGCAACTACTGAATTCATTCATTACACTTAATAGATTTTTGGTGGAGTCTTTTGGGTTTTCTACATATAAATCATGTCGTCTACAAACAGGGACAATTTAACTTCCCCCTTTCCAATTGAGATGCCTTATATTTCTTTTTCTTGCCTAATTGCTCTGGCTAGGACTTTCAGTACTATGCTAATACAAGTAGGCACCCTTGTCTTGTTTCTGAACTTACAGGAAAAGCTTTCAATGTTTTGCTGTTCAGCATAATATTTGCTGCAGGATTGTCATAGATGGTCTTTATTATATGGAGGTACCTGTCATCTCTGCATAATTTGTTGAGAGTTTTATCATGAAGGGATGTTAAATTTTGTCAAATACTTTTTATGCATCTATTTAAATGGTCATATGGTTTTTGTCCTTCATTCTGTTCATGTCATTCACATTTATTGATTTGTGTACATCAAAATAATCTGTATCCCTGAGATGAATACCACTTGATTATGGTGAATGATGATTTTTAATGTGCTTTTGAGTTTAGTTTGCTAGTATTTTGTTAAGGATTTAGCGTCTATGTTTATCAGGAATATTAGCCTGGAGTTGTCTTTTTTGTTGTGTCCTTGAATGGTTTTGGTATTAGGGTAATGCTGGCCTTATAAAATGAGTTTGGAAGTATTCTCTCCTCCTAATAAATAGTCTGTTTAGGTTTTCTGCTGCTTCCTAGGCAGCTTGCTTTCAGGGAGTAGGGAGATGCAGCAGCTCAGTTGAAGATGCAGCAGCATCCTATGTGAGTGTGGTGCCATCACAGCAGAGCCTCAGGGGTAGAAAGACACAGTGTCTACTAGTCCCTGGAGCAGGATGCACTCTGCAGGTGTCTCTGGTTTCAATATGGTGCTGTGATGTAGCAACATGAGTTGCTGCACATAGCACAACATAGGTCCTTCTGTGGGGTAATGCAGCCATATGAACTCTAGGAAGCTCCTTAAACAGGGCTCAGGGCTTGTCAGGACTGTAGGAATCTGCAGAGATAATGGGAAGTGCGTGGGGCTTCCTGCTTACCTTTTCCCTGCATACAGAGTACCTACTGGTTCCCAGCTGATCCTCACTGGAGAGACTGCTGGTTGGCAGAAGGGAGGTGTTTTCTTCCTTTCTCTATGCAGCCTCCTAAGTGTTTGTGTCCGATAGGGGTTTTGCCCCTCCCTTGCTGTTTGGACTCCAGTGCTTCTCTTTAGACTTTCTAGTCAAATGTTGTCATTTATTTGTTGTTCTTGTCCTTTTATTTTGGAGGTGGATGACTGTTAGGCACCTCTAGTCAGCTATCTTGCTGACACCCTGATTAATCTTCTTGATAATTAGATGGTCAACGATCACACAGTTGGCTGATGAATAACCTGGTAGTGTTTAGGAATGGGTTCCAAGTGCCAGGCGTATATCAGTCATAAAGCAAGCTGTCTTGATTATAAAGATTGGGGACTTGAGGATTGGGGTCAGGTAAAGAAATTCCCTTGACAAAACCCCACAACTGTAGGCAAATATATCATATTACTTCTAGAGGCAGGCTTCAAGTTGAGTCCTGTATCATTCATGCAACATTTATTTCTTTAAACATTTAACTATTTTAATACCTATTAAAAATTACAGTACTTAATATTGGATATACAGTGATTTAAAATGCAGTTCCTGTCCCCAAGAAGCTTATAAACTGTGGTAGAGGGTGGGCAGAAAGGGAGGGCCTGAACGGATTTTCAGGAAGGTATAGGGAGGACTACAACATGGGGAAGCCCAAGGTGTGTGAGAGCAGGGGAGGTTTCACCTCCAATAGTGGTGGTGTGGTATTCAAAGAAATCTTCCCTTAATAGGTGACGTCTAAACTGAGACCTGAAAGGTTGGATAGATTATGCTTCAAGGAGTAGGGAACAAAAACATTCTAGGCATCAGGATCAGCATCTGAAACGACACATAGATAAGAAAAAATAAGCACGGATACAAGTGATGTAGGTGTTACACTTTGGCTGGAACATACAGGATCAAGTGGAGAATGAGGAATGGAGGAAGAAAACAGAAGTCTAGGGATGTTGAGTTAAACTGTAGGAATGATCATTCATTTGATATGGAACTTACTGAGGATAATCATAAGACTTTGCAAGAAGCCCCATGGGCCAGGTCTCAAATTCCTAGGTGAATGATGAGGAAGGACCAAGAGACTGGTAAATGATGATGATGATAATGATGATAGCTAAAATTTGCATGGGCTTACTGGGTCTTTTTTTAAGTATTTTCCATATACTAAATTAATTAAGCCTCACGACAGTCATATAAGTTAGATGCTGTTATTAACTCTATTTTTATAGTTAACTGTATGAAACAGTTTAAACCATATTTTGAGGGAGATTGAGTTACAGCAGGGGGTTGATGTGGTAACTAGGTTATAATCATCACACCTGTATCGATGTGAGAATGGTTTGAGAAGAAGCAAGGTTTCTAGGGACACTAGATAGCAATGCATTGTATTGGACCAGGAAGAAGAAATGGATTAAACTGAAGTGCTAGCAATGAGTATAAAAAAGAAGAAAACAGGTATTGCAGATTGTAAAAGGGTCAGTTTAGGGATTGATTAAATGTGAAGGTGGTAAGTCATTGAGGATGATGCCCAGACTTCTGGCTGGCTAACAGAGTAGATTATAGTATAATTTATTTAAGTTGGGAGGAAAAAACAGGAGTTAGTATAGGGGGTAAAATGTTGAATTATTTTTAGAGCATCTTGGACTTGAGATGCCTACGGATTATGCACAGAGAGATGTCAAGTAGGAATGGGTATAGACAGATTGGATGTTCAAAGTCATGTCAGAGGTGAAGATACACATTTGGCAGTAGTTAACAGGTGATAACTAACTAACTAATAGGTAATAACTAAAGTCATGAAAATGAATGAAATTATTTAGGAGGCAGGTATCAAGTGAGATGAAAAGGGGATTGAGATTGAAACCCCGAAGAACACCCAGTATGTAAGGGGTGGATAGCAGAGGGGTCCACAAAAAGAATAAAAAAAACCCCAATGAGGTGGGAATAAAAGGAGTGCATATTTAAACTAAAGGAAACTGTGTTATAACAAAGGGAGTTATCAAAGTATGAGATGTTACAGAGAAGTCAAAGTGAAAACTGGAAAGGGACTATTGGGTTATATCAAGGAAGTCCTTGCTGATCTTACAAAGAACAATTTCATCAGTGTGGTCAGGAGAGAACATTATAAGATGCCAAGTGTAAATGAGAGATGAGAAATATGAAGCAGCTTGCATGGGAACTTTTTACAAACATTAAGCTGAAAAGTGGAGGGAATAGAGGGTGATATCTATAGAAGGTGTTGTAGGGTTTAGATGGGTTCTTGTACATTATATCTCTTTAAAATATTAGAATGGGGGAGATTTGAGAATGGTGCAGTGTTCATAGGAAGGTGCCAATAGAGAGGGTTAAAAATATTGGGGGCTGGGAGGTGTATCTGAGTGGGAACAGTGTTTGAGAAGATAGGAGGGGGTGATATCCAGAACCGCACTTGAAGGATTCATGTCAGTAGGACCAGTCCATTCTCCCACTATTGTTAGGAGGTGAAGAAATGTTATAGGATAGATTTGTAGTTCATAGCCTGAGGAGCAAGCCTTTGGAGTTTCTTTCGGATGACTTTTCTATAGTTTTAGTGGAGCAGATAGCAAGATTAGCTAATGGGCTATAACAGACTGAAAGTGGTGGAATAGAGAATTTTAAGAAAAAGAAAAGGTTTGAAACAGCCATTGGGAACAATTGAAGAGTGGAAGGCCCAGGGAGAAACAGACACATTTGTCAAGGAGTGTTGAGTGTTGAGGAGTGGTGAGTGTTAAAGAGAATCGTGGTTTATGTGATGCATTTCAACGTATTCAGCAGCTTTGGTATAAAAATGGTGGGGTTAGAGTGTGGCTTAATTTCAACAGTGGGGTCTTGCCAGAAAGTTGTGATAAACAGAACTTAGGTACATAGAATTGATAATCTTCATAAGAGAGTGGTACAGTCTTGGGCCTCAGATTTAGGCCTACTAGAGAAGGAACTATAGATGGAAGGAGGTTGAGACCTGGAAGAAAAGAAGCAGAATCAAGGTCTTAGTGGTAAAGATGAGGTCAAAGATCAGGAAAAATAGGAATCCCTGAGTTAGGAGGCTGGAAAAATCACGTACTATTTTAAAAGCCAGATTTTTTCAAATTTAGTTTTTCCAAGTGGAAATATTCTGCATGAAAACCAGGTCATCATGGCTTGGGAGGAAGTGGATGAAGTAGAATGGAGTGAGAGTCATCATATTTGAGGAAGTCAAGAAGCTTTGCATTAGGGTGTTGGATGGGCTATGTATGTGGTTGCCGAAATTTCTCAAGGTGATTCAGGCCTTGCAAGGCAGTGGAAGTCTACAGTCTAGCCTTCAGAAACTTTAGTGGATGATGGGAAGGGACAAAGAGGATAGAAGGTGACAGTAGTGAGGACATGTGGAAGGTAGCCCAGCTGAGGGTGGAAGAGTAATGGTCTGGATGCAACCAACATTAGGAGCTGAGTACTTGGAGTGTGATACATTGAGCGACAACCATTTGAGAGGGAGAGAGGGAGAATAGTTTTTTGGAGAAGATGAATTGGTTTTTTGTTTGTTTGTTTAAAAGTAACTGAAATAATTTTAATTGTGAAAAATTAAAGGCAAAAAAATCACTTAATAACATAGCTTGATAACTAATAAGAACCTCAGAGAATGTTTCCTTACTTTTTAGATGAAAAAATTAAGTCCCAGAGAATAGATGAATAGATAGATCCTTTAGTGAAAAGATTATTCCCCATCATTATGAACAGTTTAACCAGAGCAAGTAAAGAAAGACTCTATAGCTAGTTATGTCAATAACTTTCTCATGTTTACTCCAGTGCAATGATTATTTAAATGCGCTGAAAATTTGAACATATTTATTTCTGAAGTGGGTGCAGATGATATCATAATCTCGCTTTTTGCAGATGATATGATATTATACCTAGAAAACCCCACGGATTCCTCCAAGAGACTCCTAGATTTGATAAATGAATTCAGTAGTCTCAGGTTACAAAATCAATACACACAAATCAGAGGCATTCATATATGCCAAGAACTGTCAAGCTGAAGCTCAAATCAAAAACGCAATTTGTTTTGCTATATCCCCAAAGAAAATTAAATATCTAGGAATATACCTAATAAAATATATGAAAGACTATGGAGAACAATGAAACGCTAAAAAAAGAAATTGTAGAAGATGGAAACAGATGGAAAAATCTACCTGGTTCATAGATTGGTAGAATCAATATCATTAAAATGTCCGTATTACCTAAAGTGATCTACAGAATGAATGCAATCCCCATCAAAATACCACCATCATTCTTCACAGATCTAGAAAAAATAATTCTTTGCTTTGTATGGAACCAGAAAAAACCACATATAGCCAAAGCAATCTTAAGTAAAAAGAACAAACTGGAAGGCATTAATCTTCCTGACTTCAAGCTGTACTATAAAGCAATAATAATGAAATCAGCCTGGTATCTGGCATAAGAGCAGAAGCATTCATGTTTGGAATAGGTCTGAGATTCCGGAGATGAAACCATTTGCATATGGTAACCTAATCTTTGATAAAGCAGACAAAAATATACATTGGGGAAAATAATCAATACTCAAATTGGTTTTAAATTAAGACTTAACAGGAAGAAACCTCTGGTCCTGAAATTAAAGATGCAGGAAAGATTGTTTATTTAGCCTGTGTCAGGAGTTCCAGAGGACAAAGTAGGAAGTAGGAAGGGAATTGAGTGGTTGAGGGTGGGTGCAGGAGTTGGGATTATGAAATAAGAATAGTCCAATAAGAGTGGTGACTGAAGCCAATGTGGATGGGACGCTATGTCTGAAATTGTCTATATCCTTTGCCCACCGCAGAGACCCTCAGTCCTAATGTTCATACTGGTATTTTTCAGTTTTCCCCCCCTGCAGACATTTTTGTTCTCCATTGGCTCGCAGGAGTGTTGCTTATTGTGCAAACATGACATGCGTGGACTATGATTACAATTACTATACATCAATGAATCGCAAGAGACTGAACCGTCTAGGTGAGCACCTTTACAGGGAGTTTTCCTCACCAGTGTCTGTCTGTCACACAGATAGGAGTAGCGATGGCCCAAGCTCAGAGTTGAAGCCAAAGGATGAAATGCATGCCTGTCTTGTGTACGATGGAAAAGACTCATTCTCCCACCAATAGGAACAACTTGGAAACTCACCATACAGGTCAGGTGGGCCTCAGGTCACTTCTTTGATCTATAGGGACTGAAGAACTCAGCTTCAATGCTCTCCTGTCTTTTGTCTTTCTCTACCTAGGAGGTAATCTGTTTGAAAAGCATCAGGCAGAAGGTGAGATTTGTTCAGTCCCTATGTTTACGAGGGTCAGTCCAGCTAGCCTCAGTAATATAGGATCTTGAAGCCTATGCAGTGGAGTTGGGGTGACCTCTAGTTGACCAAACTCCATTGCCATCTCTGCTCACACAGCTAGCCTGCGGGCGGGGCCTTCCACCTGCAGAACTCTGGTGCCACCCTCTTTGCGTCCCTCTGCACTGATCATGCTTTGACAGTTGAGTCTGAAGCTCTTCTGGATGCTGTCTTTGGCTTTCTCTCTGTGGCACTCTTGCTATAGCCTGCCTCTGAAATTGGCACCCTCTCTTATGTATGCCAAGGGGCCAGTACCTCTGTAATTTTCCATCC